AATAGTTATAGTTTTTGATAGTTATATATTTTTTTTATCTGAGAGAGAGAACACTTGTGCAAGTTGGGGAGAGTGGCAGAGGGAGAGAGAGAAAGAATCCCAATCAGGATCCACACTGTCAAGCACAGAGCTCCACGCAGGGCTTGATCTCATAAACCATGAAATCATGACCTGAGCCAAAATCAAAAGTCAGTCACTCAACCAACTGAGTCACCCAGGCACCCCTGCATTTTTTATAGTTATATTGTTCCAAATTGCAGAGCGGATAAGCATTGTATACTGATCACCTCCATTATTTCAATCATTTAGATACAATATCAGAGATAAGTGTAAAATCAATTCCCCTTGAATACTGAAGTCAAAACTCAATTTCTCGGATTAGCTTACAACCTGGACACAAGCAAGTGACTAATTTCTGCCAATCAGAACTTTGATCCAGAAGCAAGGAAGGGCACCATGCACTCAGCAGGCTGGAAAAGTTAGTTGCCCAGGCAGCCAGCTTCCACAGGCACTGATGAAAGGGAAGTTTCTCAATGATTTTAAGGCCATGTTCCTCATGCAGAACTGGCATTGGTGCTGGTAGCAGTAGTAGCTGCAGTAAGATTTAATTTCTGGTGTTTGTACTCTGTGGTCATGTTGTAAGGGATACAAGTTTTCTGACAGGCCAATCCTCCACCTTGGTTTTAAAATCCTAGATTTGAGATTGTTTCTCCAGCCTCTAGCCTAACATTATTGTGAACTTCCTAAAAGCCCTTCATTTATTCCCTTGTATGCTTAAGCAGAGTAGATACAGTTGTTTGTATCCAAAAGTCCTGACTGGAATCATACCTGGAGGTCACACATCTCCTGTTATTGTTGTGAAGACTAAATGACATAAGTTATGCTAATGTACCGAACACACACAGAATAGTGCTCAGCAAGTATGTGTTTCTCTCTGGAGGCAAATAATGGGTGCAGAGGCAGCCATTAGATCATGTTGAAGCTTCTGAACTAGATCTCCATTTATAAAGACATATTTGAGCCCTGGACTTAGAATTTCAAAACCTCAAATACTTCCCGGAATCTTCTTAGTCCTTTAAACTAAAAAAGCAAAGGTAATATGCTTTACATGTGAGGAAAAATATGGGTGCCCCTTTAAAAAGAAATTATAGGAGCTCCTGTAGCTCAGTCGGTTAAGTGTCTGACTCCTGATTTCAGCTCAGGTCATAATCTTACGGGTCTGTGAGTTCGAGCCCCATGTTGGGCTCTGTGCTGATTGCATGAACCCTGCTTGGGATTCTTTCTTCCTCTCTCTTTCTGCCCCTCCCCCTAAATAAATAAATAAACTTAAAATTTTTTTAAATAAGAAGACTATAATGATTTTCAAGATAGCAATAGCAGAGCATTAAACCAAGCAAATGGGCCTTCTAAGTATGTATGCCCATGAAGCCTGCCCTGTCCACATGAAGCATTTCTGATTGTCTTTCTCATCTACTGGTGTTAAGACTAGAGAGTACTGGGCAGCATGGGCGGCTCAGTCGATTAAGCGTCCGAGCTCAGCTCAAGTCATGATTCCGTGGTTTGTGAGTTTGAGCCCCACGTTGAGCTCTGTGTTGACAGCTCTAGAGCCTGGAGCCTGCTTCAGATTCTTTCTCCCTCTCTTTCTGCCTCTCCTTCTCCCGCACTCTGTCTCTCTCTGTCAAAAACAAATAAACATTAAAAAATTAAAAAACAAAAACAAAAAAAGAATACAGAGTATCTCAGGGACACCTAAGCCCCTCTCTCTAATTCTACCCCTAAATTCTATTTAAAACAAGCAAGTCATGATATTTCTATACCACAGTTGGCCACAACAAAAAGCTTTCCAGCCAACCATACAAAATTGCTTTACTGATGCAGTTACATTTCAAAATTACAATTACAAAATTACTTTAGTCAGACAAAAATACATTTTCACTTTAAGGCAAAAAGTGAAATACATACTCATCTTAAACACTGAAAGACAGAGAATATCAATGCCAAAAGGAACCAGAGAGAGTTCAAGCCCACTGGGTTTATGTTTAGGGAAATTGAGTCTCAATGAGGCTAACTGCCTGCCTAGAGAGAGTAACACAGTTAGTGCTGAATAGAGAACAGAACCTCAGGCTCCTGAAATCTGGTTTATTTTTTTTTAATGTTTTAATGTTTTTTATTTATTTTTTGAGAGTCAGAGAGAGACAGCGCAAGCAGGGGAGGGTCAGAGAGAGAGGGAGACGCAGAATCTGAAGACAGGCTCCAGGCTCTAGCTGTCAGCACAGAGCCCGACGTGGGGCTCGAACCCACGAACCGTGAGATCATGACCTGAGCCGAAGTCGGACGCTTAACCGACTGAGCCACCCAGGTGCCCCTCCTGAAATCTGGTTTAAATTTGCCTCTTTTTATGTGTCACCACCTCCCTTCCTTTTCGTCTCAGCAGCACTGCAGCAGTTAAATTTTCTCCCCCAGTCATAAATCCACAACAAAAGTAAGACTGCTAGAGAGTAAAAGAAATTCAGTATTAAAAGCCATCAGGGCTTGCAGGGAAACCTTCTATATTAAAACAAATTTTCTTTTTAATTACAACATCTATGCAATAATTCAAGTCAAAGTACATAAAATAAAAGGTGATATTCTACCCATTAATCCACTCTCACTTCCCAAAACGATCACTTCTATCATTTAGGGGAATATCTATTCAGTTATCTTCATCCCAAAACTCAAATCATCAGTTCAGGTTATTTAGATCAAGCCTTATTTTTTAATGTTTATTTATTTTTGAGAGAGAGAAAGACAGAGACAGAGACAGAGTGTGAGCAGAGGAAAGGCAGAGAGAGAGGGAGACACAGAATCTGAAGCAGGCTCCAGGCTCTGAGCTGTCAGCACGATGCTGGGCTTTAACTCGCAAACTGTGAGATGATGACTTGAGCAGAAATCAAGAGTTGGATGCTTAACCAACTGAGCCACCCAGGCAACCCTAACAGCGACATTTAAGAAAAAAATGTTTTATTATAAGCAGAAACTGAACCTAATTACTGAAAATAGATTATGTGAATTTTCTTAGTGTACTGACATTTTTAGCAATAGTGAAATAGTCACTCAATCCTTTGTATATGGAAAGTAAAGAGAAAATAGATGTGCAACAATCCATTTATACCGGAATTTCCTTTGTACTTTGTTTCTGTTGCTTTGACCAAATTCTCTTTTCTTTACATTTAATCCTGCTGCCAGTGTAAACTCATTAAGTATTTTGGAATAAGGAAGGTGTCACACAGGGCAGTATTCCTCATGAGACTTCCATATTTCTGATTTAGTGATGAACTATCTTGTAATAATTCTTTTCCATTTCTCATTTTTGTTTATTCACTCTTCAATTTGGGGGGGGGGGGAACCTTTCCAGAAATCTTTTGGCAATTCAAGGCTTCAACATATGCTACCCATTTTCTGTTTTGAAGATGTAAGAATAATAGCGGCTCAAGGGGGAAATGTGTGCACGCTTATTTACATGCCAAAAACTACATAAATTACATCACTACTTTATCTTTGTGGCATTGCAAATAAAGTTCATTAAAACTATTTTTTAAACTTTTTATTTATTTTTGAGAGAGATGGGGGGTGGAAGGGCAGAGAGAGAGAGAGAGAGAGAGAGAGAGAGAATAGAAGCAGGATCCAGGCTCTGAGCTGGCAGCACAGAGCCAGATGTGGGACTTGAACTCATGAATCACGGAATCATGACCTGAACCGAAGTTGGAAGCTTAGCCGACTGAACCAGCCAGTCTCCCCTCATTAAAGCTATTAATGGCTGCTTTTCTTGGGCCATAGGAATTACCTGACGCTATCTAACATACCAATGCTCTATAAATAATCTTTAAATTTATCTTTCTGCTGTTACTATTACGCTGTAGATAGACAGAAGGAAAATTAATTTTTCCAATACAACATTGCGACGCAATTAACATTCCTATGAATAACACCATGTTAGAAACTCCATAGATTGTGAACTCTTTGCTATTCAATTTGTTCAAATTCAGATTCCTAAGCCAAACTAAATTAAATCTTGGTTCCGATTATGCAGAAAAAGTCTCTTCGCGTGCCAAATCAGCTAACCAGTTAACTCTGGCAGCCAGAACAACAGCCTGCCGTCTTGGAGTTGGCAGACTCCGTCTACTGCGACACCAAGGCCACGCTCTGCCAGGTCGCTCAGGAGCTCCAAGAACTCACACAGCTGTTTGCCATCACCTCTCCACCTGTCTCACACCCATCCTTCTGCCCCGCCCCTTACCTTGGCCCCGCCTCTGCGCTCAGCGAGCTTTCCACGCCCCCTTGCGTTCAGCCAATAGCTGGTGTCATTGGTGGGAGTGGACGTTCCCTTCCAGCCAATGCAAGAGATCCTTGCTATCCTGGTCCCGCCTCTGCCCGCAGCTCCTGCCGGAAGATGGCGGCGGCCGCCGAGTTGAAGCTGCTGGAGAAATCCCTGGGGCTGAGTAAAGGGAACAAATACAGCGCTCAGGGCGAGCGTCAGGTGAGAAACGGGGGTGGCGTGGAGAGGAAGAGGTGGACAGGAGCGGGGTCGGCTGAGCACAATTAGGACGGGCTGGCCGGCAGAGGCGCACAGAATGAGGATGCGGCTTTCCTTCTCCCCACGTGTCTGCGTCGCAGGAAGGGCTGGCGTCCCTCGGCCTTCCCCGGCGGCCCTGGCTCCTAGAGGGTGGAGGGGAACCTCCCCGCGTCGGGCTCGGCCTGAACGTTTTCTCCTGGGAGACTGTCATCCCGTTCTGGGAAGGCGAAGAGGGCCCTCAAAGATTCCTTAGAGAGACCAGGCTGGAGGCCCCGCGTTTGCATTCAGTGACGGCATTTACTAGAACACTACCTTTCATTCAGTGTCATTCATCCACTCCAGAGAGCTAACAGGATGCCAAGCAGCACTGTGCTGGAGCGGGGGAATGCAGCAGTGGTTGAGACGGACACACTCTTTCCTCCAGCGGAAGCTTGGTTTTTTACGTAGGTGAACAAACATTGCTGCTGTTTTAATTACAATAAGTGAAAAATGCTACCCTGATGCGTAGATGTCCGAGAGAACACATGATTGATTGGCCTTAGTCCAATCGGGGAGATTCAGAGAAGGTTTTTCTGAGTTTTTCAGGTTAAGTGTGCAACGTGCGTAGAACTAGGAATGCATAAGGACTCAGATTTCTCAGGGCGTTGAAGAACTTTGGTGTTTCATAAACATCGTTGTGTGACGTGGATGGAAGGTACTAGAAAAGAATGATTGTAGGAAGACAACTTTAGATCCTTTTTTCGTCCTTTTGAGATTTTTTTTTCCATGTGACGTTTTTCTTACCTTTTCTTCAGTTTGGTCCATGGTAAAAAAGCAGTCCTAGTGTACTTTCTGTACAGAAGTTAACCTGAAACCTAGAAAAGTAATGGGACTTGGCGTAAGATCAGCCCATAGACTGGTGGCAGCGTAGACATTGGAGACAAGCCCTGCTTTTGCTTTTTCCTGTGGCCTCTTACTGACCTCTTCCCTTCGCCCACTATTCCCTAGTTTGGTTTCTGTTTTTTAGAGAACATCGCCAAGACATGAGCCTTGGAGGCCTATCTAGTATGAGAAACAGTCTTTGGCAATTTAGGGCAGAACAGAATATATACTAAATGGAGGAAAACACTGTTGAGGAATGTGTAGGAGAAAGTTAATTTTTTAACTGTGAGGTTGGGTTTGTAAACTTCACAGAAAAGTTGCTATTTAAGGGTATAAGACCAAAATTAGGAAAGATTGGGAAGTTTGGGGCAAGAGATAGACTAATATGAAAAGTGCTGCAATGCAAAGTAAGCCCAAAATTACAGTTTGAGGACAATTGTGAGGGCTTTGGAGTTCAGAGTGTGGTTTCTTGTTTTATTTTAATTAAAACTTTTTTTTTTTTTTGGTCTTAGCAGAGGGTAGCTATTGAAAGTTTCAGTTTATATATTTGGAAAAAGGGATGGGATTATATGAAAGGATTTCAGTCATTTTGGGAGGAAGACAGTTGACAACAGTAAGCCAGCAATGATGTGAAAAGTTGGAGTTCCAGAGCGGACCGTCAAGAAAGAATTTTTGACATGTCTTTGGTACAAAGAGTGTGGTTTTATTAAAGCACGGGGACAGGACCCTTGGGCAGAGAGCTGCACTGGGGCTACGTGTCTGAGGGATTTGGAGTCACGGTTTTTAGGAGCTTGAGGGGCTAGCCGTTTTTAGGAAAAGGTCATTTACTACTGTCTAGTAAATCCTTCTGAGCCCCTTCAGATGTGTTATCAGTGGGCCATACGCTTGGAAGATGATTACTAACATATATCTCAGGCCGGGGTCGGGGGGGAGGGGGGTTGGAATAGAGAGAAAGGAAGTTTCCAAAGGAATTTTCATATGAGACTTTAAGGTTCTGGGCTAATGTTAAGCTTAGGTTGCCTTTTCCCCAATGCAAAGTATTAACATTGAGCTGGATTTCTAGAGGAAGGGTCACTCTGCCTTTCTCAAGGACTTATTAATGGGTTGTAAGTTGTAAGAAGTTTAATTTTTTTCTTTTGCCTTTGTTCTCCACATCAAGCAAGAAGGCATTCTCTGCAACATTACCAATTACACATTAGTCACCTGTCTGTACCTCCTCCCCGTCCATAGTTTCAGTGTCTGCGGTTTCAGATACCTTTGGTTAGTCATGTCCAGAAATAGATTCTATGTCAGAAGGTCAGGAGTAGCCTAGCACTATGTCACAATGCTGATGCCGTCTACCTCACTTTATCTAATTACGTAGGCATTTGGTCATCTCACATCATTGCAAGAAGGGTGAGTATAGTAGGATATTTTGAGAGAGAGAGACCACATTCACCTAACTTTTATTACATTATATTGTTATAGTTGTTCTACTTTATTTTTAGTTATTGCTGTTAATTTCTTTCTGTGCGTAATTTATAACTTCAACTCTATCATAGGTGTTTATATATAGGAAAAAACATAGTATGCATAGGTTTGTCATTTCAGGCATATCTGTGATTTCAGGCATATCTGTGATTTCAGGCATCCACTGGGGGTCTTGGAACATACTCCCTACAGATCAGAGAGGACTACTGTAATTAAATATTGAAGGGGAGCCTGGGTGGCTCAGTCCGTTAAGCTTCTGACTAGCTCAGGTCTTGATCTTGTGGTCTGTGGGTTTGAGCCCTACATCAGGCTCGGTGCTAACAGCTCAGAGCCTAGGGCCTGCTTCAGATTCTGTGTCTCCCTCTCTCTGCCCCTTTCCCACCTGCTCTCTAGCGCACGTGCCCCTGCCTGTGCGCTCGCTCGCTCGCTCTCTCTCTCTCTCTTAGAAATAAACATTTAAAAAACTTTTTTTAATTGACAACAATCCAGGGGCACTTGGCTGGCTCAGTCAGTAGAGGATATGATTCTTGATCTCTTAGGGTTATGAGATCAAGCCCCACATTAGGTGTAGAGATTATTTAAGGAAATTTTTAAAAAAAATCAAAAACAATCCAAAGATCCAGCTATATGAGAATGGTTCATTAATTTATGGTACAGCAGCACATTGGAATATTACTTATATACCCACTGATGGTGATTACTTAGAAAACCATGGCATTCGAAGAATAATATGAAAATAGCATGTGCTCCATGATTGCATCTACACAAGATTTGTGTACTTTAGGCTGTATAAAGGAAAGAGAATGGACTTTATGTGTCAGTCTTACTTTATCCAAACCCTGACTGCCATTACAAAGCAGGTGATCTGGTTCTTTGTAAGATGATGATGAGATTACTTACCAACTTAGAATCTGTATGATTAAATGAGAAGGTAGCCGGGAATTTTCGAGTTGTGGATGGTAGGATTGTGGATAATATATTTTTACAAATAATCCTCTTTAGAATTAAATGTCATTTCCCCACACACTGTCATTGTTTGCAAGTTCTTTTAATGTTTTGTTTTTTAAGTATAACATACATTCAGAAAAGTGAATAAATCTTGATGAGTTACCACAAAGTGAACACAGGTGGATAACAACACAGGCAAGGAATAGAACATTACCAGCACCCCCAGATGTGCTGACAGCTAAAGCCCGGTGCCGCACTCAAACTTAAAACTGTGCGATCATAACCTGAGCCAGTCGAACACTTAATTGACTGAGCCACTCAAGCGCCCCTCCATGCATTTTTTAAAGGGTATTATCAGTGATCTTAGAGGTGGAGACTTCATTTGAGTATGAAGGCAAAAGTGAAATTTCAAGGAGCTAAGTAAGTGGTGAATGGGAAGTAGGTAAGGGAATGAAAAACCAGAAAGTACCTTTTATTGCTTTAATTTTTAGGAGGTAACCTTTGAATTTGTATCTGAAAATGTTAATCTCTCTATATATTTCACAAGGTCTTGTTGATCTAAATGTGAGCATGAAAGTGCCCTCCAAAGTGTAAATTACCTTACAAGTACAGATATTATTTAGTGACTGCAGAAAGCAGCCATCTTCTCAAGAAAATACTCTTTTTTGGTTTGCTTGGGTCGTTTAGATTGTATGCTTTTTTAAAAACATTTATTTATTTTGAGAGAGAGAGAGCGAGTGCGTGCGCGCGCATGTGTGAATGTGAGCCAGAGAGGGGCAGAGAGAGAATCCCAAGCAGGCTCTACACTGTCAGCAAGGAGCCTGACGCAGGGCTGGATCTCAGGAATCCTGAGATGACCTGACCTAAAATCAAGGTTTGGTCGCTTAACTGACTGAGGCCCCCAGGTGTCCCTTGTTTTTTGTAATTGGTCAGTCTCCCCATCAGGTGATACTTTCCATTTTCTTTTCTTTCCTTTTTTTTTTTTTTTTAAGTTTATTTATTTTTGAGAGGGAAGCAGAGAAACTGGGAGAGAGAATCCCAAGCAGGCTCAAGATTTGGATGCTCAACCGACTGAGCTTCCCAGACACCCCTCCCCCCATTTTCTTTTAAATTTCTCATAGGTCTTTGCTTGGTTGTACATCAAAAACATTTAAACAAATGAGCAATTTCTTATAAGCTGACCTTTTGTATTACTTGTGCTAATAAGGGAAACAAAAATGGGATTATTTTTCAGATGATTACCTGAAGCCCAGACTATAATCATTTATATTTTGGAACATTTTTAAAACTATAAAATATTGGCCAATAGTGACCTTACTCTACATAATTCCAGAATTAATGGATATGCAATTCATGGCAACCAAGTCACATCATAGCCTATACCTAGTTAATGAGATAGCTAATTAAATTTGATCACATATCACTGAAAGCAGCCTAGATCTCCTTTGGTGGTTCTGACTACATCAGCATTAAGTCAGTGTTACGTTAATTGTATCTTTTTGTTATTACAGAAGTCCAATTTATTGAAGTATGTTCATCTTGCTAAAATAGAGGATTGGTGGACTTGATTGAAATTAATGCAGTGTTATTAGATTTCCATTTTTTCCTCTGGTACAGGCACAGTTATAAATTATGTAGAGGCATACCAATGTTTGCAGTGTTATGACCAGTTTCACTCCAAGCATCTGCTATCAAATTGTAAATAATATAACTACTGTTTTGGTGAGTTTCATTTGTATATACTTTAGTACCTTAGAGTAGAATCCTAGAGTGTCTTGAAAAAACAGTGAGGGATTTGATTACTTAGAACTTAAAATCATGATGGTACTTGTTTTTTTAAGTTTATCTGAAGAATTTTTTCTTTTTAAGATTCCAGTTCTTCAAACAAACAATGGTCCGAGTCTAACAGGACTGACTACGATAGCAGCCCATCTTGTCAAGCAGGCCAACAAAGAGTATTTGCTTGGGAGCACCGCGGAAGAAAAAGCGATCGTTCAGCAGTGGTTGGAGTACCGGGTAACTCGTGTGGACGGACACTCCAGTAAAGATGATGTCCGCACTCTGTTGAAGGTACTATGACTTTGCTGTAAAGGCTACAATAAACGCATGAACTGTTAGTAGCAGGAAACTCTCTTCCCCCTGAGAGTCTGTAGCTGAGGTTAGGGCCTTCTTGTTTCCTTGTGCCTCAAGGTAGTTTGTACCTGTTGTTACCTGTGCTAGAAAGAGTCCGCCAGCCCTCCCCCTTCACATCTCAGCTAGATACCCCTTCCTCAGAAATGTTCTCAACCACTTCTCTCTCTAACAGATGTAGGTCCTTGTTCTTGATGCCTTTTCTCATAACATTCATCAGAGTCAACAGTTATTTGTATGATTATTATTTAATGTAATGTTTTAATACTTTTTTCCCCCCACTCAGCAGTAAAGTACTTTCTCAGGGACAAAAAGGGAATCAGAATCTTTGAGACTTACTGAAAAACGCTGTTAGATTGATCTGAGAAAGCCCACATTTTTTCCTTTGAGACTTACTGCTTTAAGATCTGTATTTTCTTTCTAAAGAAGGCCCCAGAGTCACCAACAATAAATAACATTCCGGGGCATGTGGGTGGCTCAGTTGATTAAATGTCCGACTTTGGCTCAGGTCATGATCTCGTGGTCTCTGGGTTTAAGCTCCATGTCGGGCTCTGTGCTGACAGCTCAGTGCCTGGAGCTTGTTTTGGATTCTGTGTCTCCCTCTCTCTGCTCCTCCCCGCTCTCAAAAATAAATAAACATTAAAAATTTTTTAAAAATCCAAACTGTATGTTTTATTAATTATTACATAAAAATAAAGCAGATTAAAAAAATTTATAGAAGCTTAGAATTTGAAGGAATCTTAGAAATCATCCAGACAACCACATACCAGTGCAGGAATCCTTTTTGTTTTCTAATTTTATTCCCATTATTATATAAATTGGTAGTGTAAGTTGTGTGAGAAGGTCTCATAGTGCTAAAAGCTTTTCATTTATCACTCTGGTGGAAGTGGTTTAAGCTATATTCTTGATAGATATCATCAAGAGAACTGGTAAATTTCAGACCCTGTTTCTTTATAGGTGCTTTCTGATCAACTATTGACGCTTAATATCCACACCGACACTTCCTGCTGGCCTCTGCCATGCTCAGCGGCATTTCTAGAGGGAAGCAAGCATGTCTGTCCTCTAAGTGAATGAGATTTCAAGCAAATGTAACACTCTATTGTAATTTTCCAGAAGAAAGGATAGTAATAGGACTTAATTCTGAAAGATATGATCAGAATTTCACTGAATTGGGTTTAGAAGTCCAAAGTTGTATTCAGAGTTTTGGTATCAGGAACATGGAAGTAATTCCACCAAAACCTTGTGTCTGGGATCTATGAATATTGTTTGACATTCCAATCAAGAGAATCTGACCAGAGATATTACCATTTTTGAAATATACAAGTGGACAGGTGATTTGGTTGTCCTTGCCCTACCACAGTTTCCTAATCTGTACCTGCAGTGACGTGCCAGATGCAGCTCTTAAGGGCTCATGATCCGATGACCCCTCAGGCACAGCCCCTGTCCTTACAGAGCTCAGACCAGCGGGAGAGACAGATGTATGTATAATGGACTGCAATGTGATTTTTTTTGGCCACTTGAGCATAGATGAGAAAGGGTTATCTCCTGTTTTGCTTTGCTTTTTGCTATTTCATGATAGTGTTTTTATCTTAAAGGCAATAAATATTAAAGAAATTTAGGAAATATAAATAAGGAGAAAAATTTCAAGAACTGCTACTAACACTTCTGTTTACTCATCAAATATTTATTGAACTTTTGTGTTCTTTCCATGCTTTTCCTTTCTGTATATACATGTGTGCGCTTTATTTTAAAAGTGGGTAGCTATTGGATACTGTAACTTGCTTTTTTGTTGTTCACTGACAGTGAGTTGTATCTTTTATGTCCCTAAATAGTTATTTATA